TGTTTAAGCAAGCGTGAACTGACCTCTCAACTTCGTCTACGTGCTTCATGCATCTGCTTCATTCAGACACTTTCGTAGCCGCAAGCTTTAAAAAGGTGTTATACCTATTGAAGTGAGCCACTGAGTGTGTTTGTGTGTGTGTGTGTGTGTGTGTGTGTATCTCCTGAAGAGGACTAGAAGTTGTAATTCCTGCCTGCGATCGTCATGATTCGGTCATGACTTTGTGCTCCATGTTCTCGCACTCGTGTCTCATTCCTCATCTCCTAACATCCTGTGCGATACAAAAAGCCCTTAACGCATCCTCTGCGCTACTTAAAAAGCAGCACTGCTGAAGAATGCTGATTTTGATAGATTATATGGCTGCGAGCCGATATACAAAAGGATTATGAATAGGATGTAAATGAAGCACTGGGTGATACAGATTCATTTGAAGTGCTATTTGGGTTTTCTTATTAAGAGGGTTTCTAGGAGATTGGGCTCTTCACTGACGTGTCTTGATATTCATGTTAGGCCTTTTGTTCACGTTGAGTGTCCCAGTCTCTCTTTCCTGATGGAATGAGCTGCAAAACGAAATTAGTGGACCGATTCAGGCAAACAGCGAGTCAAAAAAAATGGGGGCTCATGTGCATGCGAGTCTGTTTGAGATCTGTTTTTATTCCCGATCACCCGAGGCGTCCTTATTGGAGCGTCTTTTGGTAAGGAGGATTCATTTGAAGTTCGCCCAAAGTGTCACATCACTGCCATTCTTTTTTGACCTCAGGTGGGATTATTGGTCTCATTATGCAGAAGAATCGCTACTTGATTGTGAAATAATGTTTCACCGTCTTCCTCACAGTGACGCCTCATAAACACCAAAACAGCACACTCAGCATGTGTGTATCAATCTGTTTAGCAGTGAGCATTTGAATGCCACAGTTATTAGGAGGGTTTGTCTCTGGCAGATGTGTGTGTTGTTCCTGTTTATGTACACTCACACACACACACACACACACACACACACACACACACACACACACACACACACACCTGCATCTGAGACATAGAATATAATCTTACATACGTCAACATAATTATTGCATTAACAACAGTAATTTAGTTCAGTAATATTTCCAAAGTGCTTAACAGTGACTTTCTTGTGAATGTACCAGACTTTCTATGTTCACTACAATATATATATGCAACTTTCCTCTCATTGGTTTGAGTCCTAAAATATTATTATAGCAGCTTGATTGGCCACATTCTTTAAAAAAACGACTTAATCCCTAATCCCTCTTGGCTCATTGTGGAAAAAGGGGCTTATTAACTGATTCTAATTTTAGTTTGTGTTATTCTACGTCTTTTAAATTCGTGTAAACACCTTTTTTTTTTTTTAAAAGCACGCTGATGACAGCATCACTAGTGACGTTCACGTGAAGAAAGGCAGAGACTTGCGCTAAACGGTGCGCAGCTCTGACGCGTATTTCTGCAGCGCGTCTGGCGCTCACAGATATAAAACCCACCGCGCAACAAGCGCCCAGAAGAGCAGAAGAGACACCTCAGGACAGCTGAATTCTCCCTCTAATCCTCTGGGAAATGTAAGTACCTTGATATTTGACTTACAAAAACCTTGACTGTTATTGACAGGAAACTTATTTAAAGTCTCTAGACATGAATCTGCTAGTTGCAGCTACAAAAGTTTCATTTACATGTTTGTTTGTTTTTACTACCAACAAGACATTTATCCCTCAAGCAATGTCCTCCTCAGCAAGAAACCTACTCTCAATAAATAACAATTCATCTAAAAACAGAACAGGACATTTATTAAAGCACAGTGGAACAAGTGTCCAGAGATGTGGCACTGACCTAACAGTTTTTTTTACTTGTTTCTACTCGACCAGATGCATCCTAACGTGGTAAGCTGGCTGGGGACTCTGGGGTTCCTGCTGTGGGCGCTGCTCTGCCTGGGCGCTCTGACGGAGGGATACCCGGTGAAACCGGAGAACCCTGGGGATGACGCCCCGGCGGATGAACTGGCCAAGTACTACTCAGCCCTGAGACACTACATCAACCTCATCACAAGACAGAGGTAGGCGGACTAATTGCACCTCTCTGCAAAGAACAGAATCGAACAGAGAGTTTATTAACAGAGCTGGAGTCATTTAACTTCCGTTTTTATAACGATTACAAGGAATACTTCGCAATATTTCTTTCTCCTTAAATCACTGGATTCATATTTGTCCACTTGCTGGTAGCTTCTCCACATTGTTCTCTATTTAATTGTATTCTCCAATTAAAAAAACAAAAATGCAACCACCATTGAATATAATGAGATGACTGCTATCAGATAAAACATTCTTTTAATCAAGTGGTGCTTAATATTGTTAGACTTCTAGCCATTTTCTTCAATAGCCGTTAATACTGTACCAGCTAAAAAGTTATGCAGAGTAGGAGTGCAGGATTTTAAGTTTGTTGGATTGTTTATTATCATGGCTGCGAGGCATACAAAAAATATATATATTTAATTTGAGAAAATAATAAATTCTACAGTTAACAATGGTCTTTCCCCAAGATTTGGCATTTTCTATTATGTTCTTGACATGATAATCTGAAAAAATTAACTGCAAACTTTTCACATCAAACAAAGCCAAGTTTTGCCTATTCGAGCTGCAGGTTTATTTTTACAGCTTGTGACAGAGCAGGGAACACCCGCTGCCCATTTACCTGTAGAACCACCTGAGGGGAAATGACTGCCATGCCAGCATGGCGTGTCCACCATTTTCAGCTTTCTTCTGAATGTCAGGGGGCTTGCATGCCGGCTGCAGGCATTAAGCCACCCAGGGGTTCAGGCACGCTGCACAGCTTATCATCTGAGGGGCAGAGAAGGAAATATGACCACCCGCAATGCAACTCCTGTCTGCCCCTGCAGGGTCTCGGTCTGACTGTATTCAGTCTTCACTGAGGTTTTAATTGGATTTATGACAAAGTAATATGTCACGGTATGTATTTCTCTGTGCTCAATTCATCGCTCTCTCTCTCTTTTTCTCTGATGTATTTTGACAGCCAAAATGTTCCATGTTGATGCTAAGCCCTTTCAAGTTCTGTCCGTCTAAATGCCTGTCACTCCGTCTCTTTCTTTGTCTCAGGTATGGAAAGAGGTCCAGTCCTGAGATTCTGGACACGCTGGTCTCAGAGCTGCTGTTGAAGGAAAGCACAGACACGGTCCCACAGTCAAGGTGTGTGTGTGTGTGTAAAACTGTCAGTGTGACATTGTCGCAACTCGCAGGGAGCTGACCTTGTCCTCTGCTTCTCTCTCTCCAGATATGACCCTTCATTTTGGTGATGTTGTCAACGGGGTTGTCTCCACCTTCACTGCCGCTGATATTCTGACCTCTATGACCACCCTGCCTCTGCCCCTTTTACCTTTATGAGCCGTATATTCAACCCCTCCTCCCTTACCCATCAGCTACAGTCACAACTGCTTATACTATTGTAAATAGTTTATTCAGAGTTATCATGTGAAACATAAAGGTCAAGTGGGAGAGGGAATGCTGATTGTGTTGTATAATTGTGCTATTAAAGATTCATTGTTTGAAGGAATGTATTTCTTTGATTCTGTTTTGATAGATGCAATGGTTTTAAACTGCAGACGCTGTACTCAAACTGTTACAAAATGTCAAAAGTACCTGAGCACACTTATGGGGGCAAATTGAGCAGCGATTGATGGCTGACATTGTATTATATCGTCTATGCGATTAATTATTTGATATATAAGGTCACTAAGATGTCAGTTGAGAGAGAACATTGGTCCTGAATGCTCCGCTGACACATCCCAGGCACTGATGGCTTGATGTCTTCCCTCATGATGAGATCAAGTTGACTTGCTGTGGCGCACCTCGCCTTCCAGCTGAAATCCATGTAGCAGCTAATGTAACTATGACACTGGATAATGAGGCAAAAGCCCATTTAAACTGGGCCTAGCATGCATGAATGGTCCGGTAAAAGCGAAGATGGTCAGAAGACATCAGTCAATTTTGGAGCTACCAATTGTGTAGCTAATGGCGCTCTCTTGTGGCCATGAGGATAAGTAGCTACTCTGAAACTAAATGAAGGGAGAAATGGCATTTCCAGTAGCATTATTGCAATTACACGAGCGGTTAGCCTACCGCAACATGACATCTAATCGGCCCCATAGAGCACAAAGCAAGCAGTTAAGAGGCACTGCAGACACACAGTCTGCATTGGAAATGAGATAACCCAGAGGACGAAAAAACACATTCACACAGTTATTGATATTCATGTGGTGGTTCCATATTTTATCCCAAGTGTGGAGCGAGCATTCAGTCATTAATACAACAGTGAACTAGTAACGTTGACGACACTAAACTATGAATTGAAGACTTCGTGGCTCCCTCTCACAGATAAAGGCTCGGTTTTATCTGCGGGGAGTAGATAGAAGTAGATGAACAATAAATACATGGCGTCCGGTAAAACTTTCTGTGTGTTGTTTAAGGGAACTATTTATGCTAAGCATATATTAACATATGTTCCGTAACGTTTATGTTACTCTAGGAACATGTTGTACTTCAAAGCTCTCTTAGTGTTAGCATACATGTTTAAATAGGCGTATATAACAGTAAACTGCCCTATAATGCTATCTTTATAGACTATGGGAGTGCAGCGCCCCATTCAGATAAATACATCTCTCCTACTTTAATATTCGTATAACAAGTATTTCTGTGAATGGACGAGTGTATGACATTGTGACAGAAATTACTACATGCTACAATGCATTCAGTTAGCGAGGGTTGTACCTCCGCTGCCATTGGTCAATGCTCTATGACGCAAAGGGGAGGGGGCGGGGCGTGTATGTTTGATTGACGTCGTGTTCTCTGGTAGTCTGCCGCGGGACCAGGACAGACAGCTGAGGGGGGGGGGGGGGGGCCTGAATGTCCAACCGGGACGGTCGGTGGACTACCGCGACCTCACACGCACGACTCACAGGTAAGTCACGGCTCGTGATCATATTTGTGTTTTGAAGGTGTTTGAATTCATTCATCCTCTGGCTTTCAAACGGGAGACAAAGGCACTTTGCCGTGTTTAAGGTGCAGTAGAGTTTGACAGAAGGGCATGTTTGCCCCCAATAGAGTCCGATCTGCCGTGAGAACAGGCTTTATTCAGACACAGCTCAGTTTTGCGTTGGGGGCCCATAGTGGAGTCCTTTTTCCTTTTCCTGCATATCACGAGGAAGGATACAAGCGGGTGAGTTGTAGCCCTAGTCGTAAGTGTGCGCACGCCACGGCCACAATGGCTCGGATGGGCAAACAAAAAAATGGCCGCACGTGTGGCGAGATCGGTGTGAATTGTACAGTTGTCTGGTCAGCCCCGGAACGGCGCAAGCCTTTGACACGGATCCGACGCACGGTCCAAGCGCACGGGTTCCTGGCGCACGGATGTGGCCACGCGTCAGAACCGTGGCGTCGATCCATGACTGGGAAGATATTGGGAAAGAGCTGCAGGTTCTAGTGCTGGCAGGATGGAAGGGGCTGGTAAGCGCCACCGTCCCGAAATGATAGTGTGCAACATTTAAAGGGTGGTGGGCTTTTGCCATCACCGTACGGTGCCCCTGTTAGAACATATTCTAGACTATTGTCTTTTTTTAGGTCTAGAAAAACTTTCACAAAAAATATCAGCAAAGCTTTGTTTGTTTTGAGCTGATGCTGAAGCAGAGATGGGGGGGGGGGGGGGGGCGGTGTTTGGCACAGGCTGGCCGACCGGAGACGCAGCCAGACGGTCCTATTGATTTTTTTTTTTTTGTCTAGCTGAGATGTATGAGTGCATCATCTAATAATAATGTACTAACACAATGTCAAAGCCACTTTATGTGAGCACTGAATCGAAACATGAAACCACTTCTCAACAGACAACTCTCAATGAATCGTGGGCCTTGAGTAGCACAGGGTCACTTGGCAAGGTTTATAAGACGTTTAGTCTCGTGCACGTGCGGGGAAAGCCCATGCACATACGTACATACATCCTTGGGGATCCTTCCTGGAAGGTACTATATAGGCCACCAGACCACTGAGAGGGGCAGCATGGATCTTGCTCATGGTTCCTTCTCTCTTCCTTCCAATCATGCAATAAGCCATAATTGGATTTGTTGAATCTAATAGGAGGAACAAAAGGAGTAAGGGAAGGAGACAGAGATAGTTTTATTAGAGTAAATCTGCAGTCACTGGGCAGGATAGTAAGGATGAGCTTTATTGTTTGACTGAAGTTCGTGGAATAAGATACAAATAGACTTCTCAGCCCTCACATGTATTTCCCCTTCCTGTCAGCAGAGGAAAACATGAAGTTAAAAACACACGCTCCCGATGTCAGAACTGTTTGAGAGTTGTCAGTAAGTCATTCAGAGACTAAATTCAATGCTTAAAAGCTTATACTTTTCCATTATGAATACGCAGCTATATGGGAGGGATGGTATACAGGAAAAAGTAGGGAGGGGTTGAGCAAGAGAGAGAAGAAGGAAGGGGCACACGCACACACACGCACACATGGACTGGAGTGACTCACACTTCCCAGCTATGTACAAGAGGATCGCTATCTACACACCTTAAAATTAACCCTCCCTGCATCAGGCTGCAACACCCTACAGTTAACCCATTTCTGACCCCATCACAGTTATCACGTTGATTGCCTCTCTGTCAGGAAAGAACACAACTAAATGATTAACCGGTACAGCGAGGAACATCTCAGGGGAAACTTTGTGTCGGAATCGCTGCAAGGTTAATGTTTTTGGCAGTTTTTTGCTGCAGCCTATAGTGATGATTCACTGGGTTTTTGTCCATCACTGAAGCCTTAAAGAGGCACACCACTGCAGACTAACAATAACACTATCCATAATAGTTTTGTTTCACACAGAAACACCTCCTTTTGTCTTTCATCTCCTAAATGAAGACATGCAACTGTGATGCAACGCTCTGATAAAACCTAACAGACAGATAAAGCTGGTAAAATAACGACGCATGTGATATAATCATCATCATTCCTGCAGAAACGTCCTCTGCTGATGAGATTATTCAAGAGCAAGATGTAAGCAGCTCAAAGTCACGGTCATTTAAACTTGTAGCAGCACCAGATAGTATAATAATCATTTGAGACTCATTTATTTTCCTTATCTGTTCCCCTCTCTCTCTCTTCTCACACATTTCCACCACCATCTTTAAAGTTAAGTACTGTTGCATCACTTCGCCCTCCCCCATCCCCTCCCCATCTTTCTCTTGATACTAATGATCAGTAACAGGAGGCTGAGAGGAAGCAGGCGCAGTCATGTGACGGGTTAGATTATGTCAGGAGGAGGTGCTCATTATTAAGATCACCGAGCGTTCGGTTTCGGACAACCCACGGACGGCCGTGTAATTATATTGTCTCAAGCTGCTGCGGCAAAGCACAAACAAACAAGCTGCAATATCGCAGGTGACGAGGTCATTTTTCGGTGATGCGTATTGTGCAACAATTGATGCCTTTGTGTCAAATTGTGGTAATTCAAATTGCGGCGTCAGGTGAAGAGGAGAGGTAGTAGCGTGAATCGGCAGAAAAAGGGTGGATACCGCTACATTCTAACGCAATCGTGGGAGATTTTGGAGAGACTGAGGTGATTTAATGACCTTTCTGTAGACAGCACCATCAACAGCCGCAACAACAGGGTGGCGACTGGTTAGAGGACATGGTTATGGTAAATATTCTGCAGATATTAATCTGCTACAACGGCCATCTTGGGGGAAGCAGTGTAATCCTCATATTGGGCGGCCGTGTTAACACACACAGAGTGACCTAGATAGGGTTTGTCTGGAGGCAGAGGGTGATGGGTGTGATGCAAGACAAGATGGAGTTGGTTAATTGCTGGCGGTGATATGAATACACACATCTACATCTGAACACATGCTCCCTTGAATCTCTTGTGCCCCGCTAGCACTCACTACCACACTGGTGTCGTACGGTACGCTCCAGTTCAGCGCTCAGGGAAGTTTAATAATCGCCCTTTGCTAACCCCTGGAGTCGGCGAATGGAGTGACATCTGGGCTTCCTGGCTGGACAGAGCTCACTGGCCTCTTTTGTGATTCTCAAGTCATCGAGAGGAACTGAGAGCGATGGCTGCCCTGTGCCCCCGGCTCAGTGGTGCACGGGAGGGAAATGTTTTTGTCAGGCCGAGAATAGAGGTGGAGAGAATATATAGACACGGATTGAATGGTTTCTCCAGGTCGGACGCCCAGTGGGCTTGACTCTGTGTGTGTGTGCGTGTGAATTTCTCTTTCATGACCATATAGGATGTGGCGTCCTCCATCTGAGTACTTCACATTCACAGATTTCTGAGGTAGAGTGAGATTTCCCCACCGCTAGCGTGACTAGAACTGGAGGAATTAAAACCAGCCTGTGGATGCTCGGCCATGCTTTTAATAGCATGCACACACACGCACACACACGCACACTCACACAGGTTTACATGTGTGAGACAGCAATGATGTTTTGTACAAAAACAAACCCTCTGATCCTTCCGTAATCCGTAGAGCCGTCCATCATCTGAGTGCTTGGCAACCAGCGGTCACTCAGAGGACGTTTGTTGGCTTGTCCTTTCCCACACCAGCCAATGGCAGCCGAGATCGCACAATGACCACTTCCTGTGATTTTTCCCTCTGGTCCCAAGAGGAGGAAAGAGCGGCCTACGGTGATGGTGATTTAAGGACAACAGGGGGGTCCTGAATCCAGGATGCATGCTCCGAGTTTAAATCGGTGTGAAAAAAGGTTGACTTGGCTGGTGAAATGTTCTATTGCGCGTTGTAACCCAGTTCCTAGTCCAAGTGCACATATACACAATCCTTCCAAAAGCAAATTCTCAGAACGCTATCATGGACATTCAGATGCATAAATATATAAATATGGTGCAACCATCGTAAGAGGAACTAGTTACCTGGCAGTTACAGAGGTGTTTGCATTCGACGAGCTCTCACACCAACCCTTTCTCTCTCTTTCTCATCTGTTCCCTCTCATTCCCCGCAAAGACTTGAGAAGCTTTTTCCCACAACTCTGTCTAATCTTTCATGACTCCCAGTGTGTCTTTTATCTCCTCTTTCCTCTCTTGATCTGACTCCCTGCTCTGACTCCCCTGAAAGTCTCCCAACTCCCCCGACTCATTTTTTATTTATTCCCCTAAAATCAAGGTGTGACCTTTCCCTACTTATACTGCAAGGATTTCCACCTCCTCCATTCTCTCCTCCCTCCCCTTTTTTTGACCCTTCATTGGACCGGCCCGGCTCCTGCTGATTTGGTGAAGAATTGCACCGGTGGCTTTGCCTCCATTAACATTCTTCGAAGGGATATCTTTCATTTCCAATGAGCGTGCCGAGCCTGATCGTAATCTGCGTTGCATAATGAATCGACCTCTCTCTCTCTCTCTCTCTCTCTCTCTCTCTCTCTCTCTCTCTCTCCCTTTCTCTCATACGATAATTCGCTCCAGTGTGATGGGTGAAAAGACCCCAAAACAGCATCATGGGCTATTAGCAAAGCGGTGTTGAGATGTCCCCCATGTGCTGTAATCACCTTGTAAACTGATCGTTTCCAGGAGACACTGGGTTGATGTGACAGAGATCAGAGAGGAGCTTAGAGGTGTCTCTAAGGTGGACGGTTTAAATATCCTCCTGAGTGTGTCTCAGAGTTTATACTAATATATTCATATTCTGAACTGTAGCAAATTCAGTGGATGCTTTTGTGCACTTTTTATCGGCAGGTAGAGCCTGCGATTTTTTATTTATTTATAGGATCATCTTTCCAGCCACCTTGCTGTTCCTCCTTTCCTTAGGGCAAGAGAAAGAGGCTGAGAGAAACGAAGCGTTGAAGAGTGCTAACCTATTGTTTTGTGTGTGATTGCAGGCATCAGTCATTTGTAATCACACTATGTCATTGTTTTTTTCGCTGGCTTGCATTTTCTAATGGTCCATTTATTTCGCAATGGCTGTTCAGAGCAGCATAGATGGGTTTGGCAATGCCAGACTCTGCAGTTCTATGAGACAGATGATGTTTTAAACATCAGGAGTAGGGTCCTTCTAATCCACAGTCAGAGTCCCTTATGAATAGAAATAAAAATATAAATTTTTTTCCGATGAAAACCATGTTATACTGTTAAAAGCTCCAGAACAAGTAAGTGGACCTTGATTTGAGATTTTTTTTGTCAACTAATTCAGATTATGATTTTTGATTTAAACGCATATCTTTTGCAAGGATCCTTACATTTTCACGATAGAGGTTTTCTTTTCTTTTTTAAGAATTGTGACCGAGATACAAATATTTTACTTGTTTTTGCTCTCTGGTGGATGAACTATGAGGACGCTTTGCCTCAAACTCCATTTGGCATTTCTCTACGGCATTTTATTGTTGACATTCCTTATCGGCCAACATATACAACAGCGATACATCTTCAATAAGCTAATACCGGTTGATATGTTGGCCTATCTTGTTCTACATGATACACATATAGAAGGTGTGTATGCCTGTGTTTACAATTGAAAGTGAGGACCGAGTCTTTCTGGGAATGAATGGATAGTGCTTTGTCATCACTTCCAGAGCCATTTACTACGTTGACGGCGCAGTGCCAGCTTATGATGCAGACATCCTTGAATGGCTGAGGACAATGAATCGTCCTGGATGACTCTTTTCATTGCTCTGAACCAACAACGGCCTCAGTGTGCAGACGAGGCTTGCAGAAGACAGGGGTGACATAGATAGATGCAACCGATAATCCACTGGGAAAAAGACAGAGTCATTAGATGTGTGTGTGAGGGATGAGCACGATTACGAATGTGAACGCTCAAGCAAGTCTGCGTTTGAGGAATGATGAAAAGCGGTGGGCAGGAATGCAAGCCGGACTGAATATTTGTGTCTCATACGGATGAACAAACGTTCACGCATCTCTCCGTCTCTCCAGGTCTTCACAGTTGACTGATGAGCAGCCAGTAGGATCAAGTTTTGGGCTACACCGACTGGCACAGGTAAACACAACTTCCTCCCCGCCTCTTTCTCAGTACTGAATCACTAGAGACGTTTAGGTGCACGCTCGCTCCATGCTAACATGATTTTGTCAGGTCAGTGGGAGGACTGCCTGTCTTAGAGGCAAGGATGCGCTGATCACTGCTCTTAAAAAAAACATTTTAAGGAAGTAAGGACGCAACTGTCCATGTGGATTACACAGAATACTTTCCCTGTATTTAAAGGGCCATGCTAATGTTAGTCTAAAACTGTGAAATTGAAGTTTCAGTTTTATATAAAACAGATCTGTATATCAACATTTACTGCCTGTGAATCTTACCTAACTATAGCTGGCAGAAAGCACTTCTTTTTCATTATTGGTCGTTTTTGGGTACCGTTACATTTTTGTCCCTGCTGTTTGTAATATTTGTCGAATTTTGACTTTGTCTCCATAAGTCTCCACATGCTGATATATATTCAGGTCTGATCACGGGTACGTCTTTCTTACACATACGGGCCTCCTGCCTTAAAAAATACCAGCATGCTTTCAATTACATACAGAATTTGGCTAATTGCTGAGTATTCAATTCATTTTAATCAAACAGTGCAATCTTATTTAGCTCATTGTGGTCTTGGAGCTATTTTCTTAAAGTCTGTGTTAACTTCCCATGATGCTTTGTTTTGGAGAAAACAACACACAGCTGTGTGAACTCAGCTGCCGGCTCTCATCTAACTATTTTCTAAAGAGGAACAAGGCAGTCATTTTAGAAGAAACTCATGTGTGTGTGAGATCAACGAACTGTGAACTCCATTTTGTTCTGTGGGTCTTAAATTTCAACTAACAGAAATATACTAGAACACTGTATTGATGTCCAAAGAGAAATTCTTCTTTCACTCTGGAGTCAGAGGCAGTGGTTCGCAAACCATCATCAAAACAGACGTAGTGTATCATACTGTTTGGACACTGGATATGGTGGGAGGAGAGAGAGAGAGAGATCCTGTAATCCCGTGCTTTCGTGGCCGGATTAAAATCCGATGTCGCGGATTGGGGGAGGGGTTGACTGGTCATGTTGAGGATGGGGCGGGGCGGATTAAAACCTACAGATCTGCTACTTGCACAGCTGTGTCGCTGTGGGAGGGGCCTGTTTTGGGTGACTCTAAACACTGGGATGTATTAGCTAACTCTTTTGTGTTTCCACTGCATCTTGACAGCCTGGCTATTTCCTATTTGCAAGGACAACCCATAAAATGTCTGCTGAGCTTTTTGGTGTTATGTTATTATAATGTATCATAAATACTCATGTTTGCATTGGCTTCTTCTTAGCCATAGCGACACAGCTCTAAAAATGGCACTTCAGTCGGCTCTTCTGTCATCCGGCCTTTCATACTTCTTGAGATGCCAAAGGTCTCACTTATCAAATGGAATATAGCAACATCTACTGCATGGACTGGCACAAAATTCAGGATCACAAGTATATGTGCACATACAAGGAATTTGACCGATTCTCTCAATGTACAGAAATATAAATTACAGCAAGCTACATGGACAACCAAGCTAGACAAATAGTAAATGTAAATAACAAGGTTCCTACAAAGAAACAAGTAGCTTTCCCAAAAGTATTTAGGCTCAGTCATGCAGCCCCAAAATGTTCATAATCCAGCCAGCACATCCAGTCATTGATTTAGCGAGAAGTAACGTGAAGAATAGAGGCCAAAGAAAAAATGAGAGGGAGAAAAAAAAAAGTTCCCATTAGGCTGACACAGGCTGCGCTATGGAGGTTTACGACTGCTGAGGGAATACGTACCAGCACAATCTGCACACGCTGAGAGTTTCTGCACATTGCTGCAGCGGGGTGTCCGAACCATGAGCGGAGTGAATGAGAGAAAGAAGGAGGAAAAGAATGGGAATGTGAGGTCAGGCCCCATTCAGTAACACTTATGTAAGATTACTTACATAATGACACCTTCAACTGGTGTGTGTGTGTGTGTGTGTGTGTGTGTGTGTGTCTGTGTCTAGACAAGTGGGGCAAATCAATTTTGGGTGGGGTCGGAGCAACAAGAGGAGGGGTACTCAAGCAAGCCCTCAACAGCAGGAGAGGATTGTGGGATTATGTGTGTGTGTGTGTGTGTGTGTGTGTGTGTGTTATCAACGGAGGGGGGTTGATGGTTGTGAAGGGAAGGTATTAAAGCCAGAGTGGAGGGAGGGGACTGACAAGCATTGAACGCATGTTCACATCTGTGTGTGCTGTCCAGCTTTCGACCTCTCTCTGTCTCTTTTCGCAGCTGTCTTTCTGAACTTATAGTAACATTAGCCTCTTCACTCCCCCTCATCCTTTCCACTCCTCTTTCCCTCCTTGTCTCCTAACATCCCCTTATCTTTATCCCACTCTATTGTCGGTCTCTTTGCTTCTATCGTTCTCTGTCCTCAATCCTCTCTCTCTGTACTCTCTCTCTCTCTCTGTGTTTTTGGGAGTTTAGTGGGTCAGCAGTGCCAGACAAGACCATTGGAGGACAGAAGACATAGTTGCAGAACTACTGGTGGTTTACTAGTGGTTAGCTTTAGCATACTTGTGGCAGCAGAGAGGAAGAAGGTGGTCTTGGCGATGGTCACGGCTATGGAGGATGCCTGTCCCAATGGGGTACGGGAGGAGGAGGAGGAGGAGGTGACGCCCCCGGGACAGCTTGGCGTGGAGGGGCCCCCGGCGGTGCAGTCCACCCAGGAAGCAGATACGTCTGGAGGTGAGGACAGGAGGAGGAAGAGGTGTCACCTGAGAGGGGAGAGATAATGTACGCTTTGATTTTATTTTAATACTTGACATGGAGGCATTGATAGAAGGCAGAATAGTTTGTCAGGAGAAGTGGTTGTCAGATGTTTCAGTTATGTTTAAATGTAGATCTGACAATCCTTTAGAGCAGTGGTTCCCAAACTCCCAAAATGGTCTCATGTCTCCCCACAGCCCTCTCAGATGAATTGAAGTAGCCCTTCGTCATAATTAGATGTTATTCAACACTGTTCATTTTACAAAACAGTATATTCATTGAATTAAACTGTCAATGTTAAGGTTGGTTTGGTAATGTTTGCATTTGTACTACTACCACTTGGTAGTGGCAAAAGCTTGACTTCAACCATTTATCCATGACTTTTAGCCACTTCCACCATGTAGGCCCCTATATGTATTACTTTTAGCTATGTTACCAGTTTATCCTGCTCATTTAACTGTCTATTTCAACCATTTATCAATGAATTTTGGCTACTGCAAACTGTTTCAACCATTTATTTATTATCTTAAAGTTTTAGCCAACAAATCAACCGTTGACCCATTTCTTTTAGCTAACGTCAACTTTGTCAACCGTTTATTTATTATCCTAAAGTTTTAGCCAACACTTCAACCGTTGATCCAGTTTTCTTAGCTATTTATTTCAACCCTATATTGAAACCATTCATGCATTATGAAGTTCAGACAACTCAACCATTTATCTATGAGCTTAGTATTTTAACCGTTTATCCATTATCTTAGCTGACAATTTGATCTGTTTATTCATGACTTTTAGCTAGCTGTTTAGACCTCTGCTCCCTCGCTAACTAGTCAGCTAGTTTTCATGCACTTTTAAATGCAACAGGTAAAAACCCACACTTAAATATAACTTGTTTTGGGTGATGTTACTTGTGTGCCAGTAAAGGTGCCCCTCTGATCTCCATCTTGTCTCGGCTTTACTGGAGAAACACAGTTAGGAATTCTTAAGCAGGGAGGTTCTGCATTCACAGCACACAGTGCTGGTAGCCGTACATATAGAGGCGTTGGTTAAATTGTTAGAGAGGCTGCAGACCGACCACAGAGGGAAGAACACTCTACTGTAGCTGTCCAGTGCTGTAAACTCTTAGATTTTACAACTTCTTCAGGCCAGGCTTAGTAAGAGGCTCGTAGGTGGTTGTATCTCCATGCCATATTTCATTGGATTATAGACTTTGGGTAGGAGGCTTTAGTTCATCTCCAATCTCTCACAGGATAGAAAAGCATCTTAGAGTTGCCGTTAGGTTGAGTAATATACACACAAGTACACGTGGCAGGGGGGCTGTGGACGGGCTGGGATGAGCAAACATTCCCGTGGTCGAGGACGCAGTGACACAATGAGCTGACCAAGTGGGCGAAGGTCAACGCCGAGAGCACAACAACTCGTGATCCAGCTGTTGTGTTGGTGTAATTTTTGAGATGTTGTAGTCCGATCAGTTCAAGTATGTAAGGTCAGTTCGATGTGTCGTTTGAAAATTGGAAAACACATTATTCGTTAAATTTCAGGAGGTCTTACATTGACTTATTGTTAGTGCGATTTAGTGAGAGTAATCAAGATGGTGGTTTAATGCTTGTTTATGTGTTTGCCCTTTAGCGTGCAGATGTGTTTACTACAATTGCAGCTCTGCTCTGAGACTTTGTGCTTATTCTAGCTTGTGAAACATGGTGTGGGGTCCCCACAGGAACCGAATATCCTGCTCATACATACTATACTACATGTGTGAACTTAGTCTTGTGCTCCTGTGTCGTCATGCAGTAAATATATTGCTTTATGGATATACAGGTTTAACAGCCTGCAGTGCAGTTTTTAACCTCCTTCCCCTTTTTGTCCTTCTTTAAGAGGACCATAAATATTTAAGGTTTGTTTTTGCATGGAGCCTTGTGTTTATGCAGTCTGTTTGTACTCGGTGCTTATCAAGCCACAGTGAGGTCTTCGCTGCATTGTGAGGTAAATTGCATTTTTTTGCTTTTTTTGCAGCCTACTTCTTAATCATAGAACTGTGTGGCTTTTGTATGTATGATGAATGATTAAACGTGAAAAATACTACTCAAAAAGAAGTAAATGCTAAATTCATATTTTCATATACAGCATGTCATGTACAGTCTATGTGTCTAAAAACACATGTGTGAATTGATCATGTGAAATGATGTTTTACACGAGATATTTCATATGATTCTGATTGGATCCTCATATTTTTGTATACGATGCCTTAAATTTCACATGTAAAATACCTGAAACTGCAGATATCATGTGACTGACTGTATTCAAGAGGAATTTATGACATGTGAAATTATGTGATAAATTCACACGTGTTTTTTACTCAAGGGGAAGTTGATTCACATTTTAAAAGTACACAAATTTCAACACCTTACGACACCATTTTTTCAAGGCCACACTTTTGCAACAACAAAGCAGATTGAGGTTTTAGAGTGTAACTTGAGTTCATGACACAGAACATGAGTCAAGGTTAAAGATGGTAATCATAGGCTCTTAATCATAGAGTGAACCAACTACACGAGCTGACTGAACATATTCACTACCCACATAAGGGAATGATGACACAGAGAGACACGCACGCGCGTTCCCATGCCTTTAAGTGTCTTAGATGGGCTTACATGGGCTTTGAGACCCCGGCATTAGGGCGCTAGCTGGCTGATACCTACGGTCCACACCTCTCCCTCTCTCTGTTTGTGTGCACAGAATACGAGACTCAGCTGAGTTCATTTGTTGCGATTCTTTCGAACAACTAAGAACATTTGAATCCTGGAAATTTTGTGCCTCAGCATATACAACTCATATGTAGGAGCATGAGGGGACAGAGTTTTATCACTGGACTTTTTCCAAACAGAACATATGCAATTGTGTTCATCCTGAATGGAGCAGACGTATTGCAACTGCAGATGGAGATTTAATTTGATCATTTTTGGGGGCCAGGCTGTGTGGTCGGTGTACAGAACTCTGTATTAAGAGAACGAATGGACTCCAAACATGGACATGGTCTCAACATCATTATTTCATATTTATATATGTCTCTTAATTTGAAGCATTTGGGCCTAGTTTTGTAATAACTAGGAAACATGAATTAGAGATTGGTACTGATATCCATAAACCAATATAGTATCGTGTGTGTTTATGCTTTGTGTGACTTTCACGCCTGGCTAACTCTCCTTATCTCTGTTTCTCTTTGTTCATGTCTGTATTTGTCTTATCTCTCAACCCGTGCATCCAGCCATGCTGCAGGTGTTGGATAATCTGGGTGAGCTGCCCACTTCCACGGCCGCCAAAGACATCGACCTGCTCTTCCTGCGCGGCATCATGGAAAGTCCCACTGTACGCTCCCTGGCTAAGGTAGCACACACACATAGCTCAGGGTGAGCACCTGTGAGCGGACTAACCGCTAGCCACCTCCGAGCACCACCTCGCCCTCACTCTGCTCCCAGCAGTGCTTTGCTTGCTGTGGCTGAGGTGCTGAAGTACAGTAAGGCTTTGACTAACAGAGTGACCATTGCATCTGCACAGATGCATGCTGGGCCTTTTTATTTGTAATGATATTGCATGTATTGCAACACCTCTACACGCAAACCGGTTGCTCTAACACACATCCTCACTGCTGTAGCAAGTCCAGTGAGTTCAGTTTGAGGGCAGCTGTTGTCATTTTCCACCATTCAGTTTATGACTAAACATGAACAAATACTCCTTTGACTTTTAACATTGTAACACGAGGCAGACGGCTTGCTTGCGGAGCAAAATAATCTCAAAGTAAATCAGCTCTTATGCACAATCCAATATAATCAGCGATCACTACTGCACAACAAAATGCAGTTTAATTTATTCATGACATCCAAATAAATACTAACATAACACACAGAGAGCGTAACAGAGCAAAAACACGTCTCTCCACATGTACCCTCGCTGAGCCTCTCTGTCTCCCCCAGGCTCACGAACAGCTGGAGGAAGTGAAGCTGGAGGCGGTGCAGGACAACAATGTAGAGCTAGTGACGGATATTCTGGGCGACATCAACAATCTCCAGCTGAAAGACGACAGCGCGGCCGAACTGTCCAGGATCCTCAAGGAGCCACACTTCCAGGTGAGACGAGGGGCAAACACTCAATCTCACACACACACACACACACACACACACACACACACACACTGGTAAAGGTAAAACAGACATGGTTTGTGGAAGTAATTGTCCTGCTTGTGGATTGAATATTGAGTTTGGGAAGTAATGTGCAGGTGGCAGATGACACTATTTGAATCACTTTTTTATTTTTGTCACTTCTTTACATCTTTACATTCAACACCTCACAAAAGCTTTCAAATTATGCTTTTTCATTTGTAAAGCTAAATTAATGCCAGAATTCTGTATTACGTCACTGTATGTATGTGTGAAGAAGAGATTAGTCTTGATATTTGTTTTTGTTCAGAAGTTCATAGTAGGGTGAATTGTAAGCTCAGTTTAGAGTTGTAATGTTTTGACTGTAGATACAGTAGCACAGAGCTGATTTTTTTTTTACCCTTAGACCTACCAGGGGCTTTACACAGGCTCGACCAATAGGATTCAGACTTAAGAGCCCAGCAAAGCTTTTGCACCAATCAGAGGCCTTTCTGTTGTAAGCTGAAGGATAAGACCCTGTTGACCTACTGAGAGTAGAGAGACAGAGCGGGAGGGAGAGACGAGTTGGGAAGAAAAAAAGAGAGAGAATGAGGGAAACAATTATTACATCAAATACACAGTGTGAGTTTACAGACTTGTTTTCTTCACCAATAAATTGCCTGTTTGTCTTAAAAGATATTTTTAAAAGAAGCGCTGGCAGTGTCCCAAAAAACAGGCTTGGATGAAAGTTTGTGGATGGATAGTCAGCAAACCAACAATTAATTGATCAGATTTTGGGGTTAATCCATATTTGGGATTTGAGCCATTAGATGATTGTTTTTTTGCCACTATTTAAGGACATCCAGACTTCCTAGTTTAGTGTTTAAACAGCTTGGTGTTTATATTTAGATTGTTAGCATTTTTTGGAAAATCAAACCGAGAAGACAAATTATAAACACGCTGTTACAGTCGTGCAGCACTGCAAATGAGACAATTAGTCAGTGTTGGTAAAAGCTTCTGCTCGACTGTCTGCCTTTGAGTTAACTCTGATACTGCATCATTATACTATACCATTCCACATATTCTACCTTATATAGCAATCATCTCATTTTGCATTATAACATAAAGTTGCAGTTTTTTTTACATTATTTATAGCGAGCCCATGTAACTTTTGCTAAACCGTATTCACTGTGGCCACATGTAACATTTACAAGATAATGCTAAAACATTAGCATAAAAAGAGTCTGTAAACTGCAATATCTCTCTAATGTTTGCTAAGAAGAAGTAATGCAGTAGCAATGAAACCACAGAGTGTTGAGTTGAAGAATTGTGTGTTTTATGGCAAATTAACTTTTCATTAGTAAGAGGAAGAATCAGCTTTTTCTTCTTTCATCATTACCCTCTCCCTCTCAATTTGTCCTCCTCTCTTTCCTGCAGTCTCTTTTGGAGGCACATGACATGGTGGCTTCTAAGTGCTACGAAGTCCCGCCCCCGACTGAGATGACCAATGATGTGGCAGTGAACAACGCTCTGATGCAGGCGGATGCTGTGCGCATGATTGGCATCCGAAAGAAGGCCGGAGAGCCACTGGTGAGCAGAGAAAGACCGTCTGAGTGCATCTGCTTATGTGTGTGCGTGTGGATACTGCTGGAGGGGAGTGGTTGAGCACATGAATGAACAAGTGAATCACTATGATGTATGTAGGTATGAGTAGATGTCAGTATGATTGTGGGTGAAGGTGAGTGTGTATGCTAAAATCAGATATCAGAGGATAAACATCACCCTGCTATCTATCTTCTCCTTCTCAGGGCGTGACGTTTCGCGTGGAGAAAGACGACCTTGTCATTGCTAGAATCCTTCATGGCGGCATGATTGACAGACAGGGTCTGCTCCACGTGGGCGACATTATAAAGGAAGTGAACGGGAAGGACGTCGGCAACAACCCCACCGAGCTGCAGGAGATGCTCAAAGACTGCAGCGGAGGGATCACCCTGAAAATACTCCCGAGCTACCGAGACGCTCCCGCACCTCCGCAGGTGAACACACACGGAAATCTCAAATGAGATGATAATGTAAACACAAGCACACTTATGCAATGAGTGGCAGATGTTGGGCAGTGGTACAGGGCTTGTGAACTGTGTTCTTCGGCCCTCCCACAATCCCCTGCGCGGGAATGTGAACCCTGGGAGCCCTATTAATAACACTCCACATGCTATCTGGGTCACACTAGCTGTTTCTGTCTTTAACACACACACACACACACTCACACACACACACACACACACATGCTTCCTGTGATCGCATGCTCCCTCGCATGGAAAGTACAGTAATTTACGATATTTTTTGATATTTCCCCTCAGATCTTTCGAACAAGTTATGGCTCCTGAGTAAAAAAAAGACATTGTGCATCCTGAATAAATAAGACGTGCACTTGGAAATGCTGATAATGCTTAAATTGAATGAAGAGCAGTAAAACTGAATAAGACATAATGCAAATTCCCATTCTAGACTGTGGCTCAGGTCGGCTGCACGGTATATTTTACTGGCTTGTTTTATTGCTTCCTCTGGCTGCTTGTTTAATCAGCCAGAGCACTTACCCTTCCTGGCAAAAGCCTCCACTGTTGGCACAGCGTGAACAGCTGTGTTGGGTGCGGTGTAGGAAGTAGGGTGTAATGAGCCAATGTTACTGTGTCAGTGTGTGAGACAGCATGCTGAGCTTAAGTCTCTTCATTTTTCCAGTTTTTTTTGTGTATGTCATTGTGTTTTGTCCACAAACGTTTTTTAAAAATTCTAAGCGAGCCAATGAGTGTAAATGAATTCCCACAAAGACTCCAAGCTGTGCATGTGTTCGTCACAGGTGTATGTGCGCCCGTACTTTGACTACAACCCAGCAAATGACAACCTGATCCCTTGCCGAGAGGCGGGGATGTCCTTCAAGAAAGCCGACATCCTTCAGATTGTCAACAGAGAGGATCCCAACTGGTGGCAGGTGAGCTTTCCTCCATTTATTTCCCGTGAGTGTCTGCCATTGAAAATCACAGAGACACGAAGATCTCAAGACTTAACTGAATCTGATCTGTAATCCGTGCCAGGCGTGCCATGTGGTCGCTGGGGCCACGGGACTGATACCCAGTCAGTTCTTGGAAGAGAAGAGGAAAGCTTTTGTCCCTCGAGACTTTGATGGATCAGGTATGTTAGTGAGTGCGTTTCTCAGTGGTGTTGATACCTGACCTTTGAGTAAACACTGGATAGTGTTTTAGTGGGGAGCTAAAACATCCACAAGTTTTCCTGTTTCCCTCTTAAGCAACCCTGGTGTTGAAAATATGGATTGGCCTAAAGACCTATCAACTGGTTCTCTGTCAGACCTCTGTCACTTCTCTATTGCTTTTACCATTAAAACTGATTTATGGCATGAAAGGCCTGGGTAGTCAATGATTCCAACACTTAGAACGTGCTCCATGCCTGCCCCCATCTGGACAAATGATGTAATAGCAAAGACATACAAGTGCATAGATGTTCCGTCTTGTTTTGTAGGGATCCTTTGTGGGACCATAGCTGGAAAGAAGAAGAAGAAGATGATGTACCTGACAGCCAAGAATGCAGGTCAGAAGACTTTTCATGCCGTTGACTTTTTATTTTTGTCTTGACATTTTTAGTATCTCCTTCTTGCGTTGGCTAATACTGATGCCTGTGTTTTAAACAGAGTTTGACAGACATGAGCTGCAGATCTATGAGGAAGTGGCAAAGGTGCCAGCATTCCAGAGAAAGACGCTGGTTCTGATTGGTGCTCAGGGCGTGGGCCGACGCAGCCTGAAGAATCGGCTGATGGTCCTCCAACCCACACGCTTCGGCACCACTATGCCCTGTACGTCATGCTTGGGTTTCGACCGTTTACTAATTCTGTCACACCCTGAAACAAATTTGTTTTTTTTAAACTTTTACAACCAATGCTTTCTTAGACACTTCACGGAGGCCCCGTGACGATGAGCTGGACGGCAACTCCTACCACTTCACTTCAAGGACAGAGATGGAGGTGGACGTGAAGGCCGGCCGGTTCCTGGAGCACGGCGAGTACGACGGTAACCTGTACGGCACTAAGATCGAGTCCATCCACGAGGTGGTGGGCACAGGACGCACCTGCATCCTGGATGTCAACCCACAGGTAACTTACTTGAGGTTGATGAATGAGAAATATTGTTAAATGAAATCTCCTCACACTGTTACAGAATGATATGTTTTTGGACATGGTTGTAATGTTACCGACTGCGTCTCTCCTCAGGCTCTGAAAGTACTGAAAACAGCGGAGTTCATGCCTTATGTGGTGTTCATTGCAGCGCCAGATTTTGACACTCTCAAGGCCATGCACGCAGCTGTGGTGGACGCAGGCATCACCACTAAGCAACTCACGGTAGGTTGACAACTCCCATGACCATTACCCACATTGAGCCTCCCAAAACAGAAAAATCATACCCGTTAACACCTGATTATACATTCACTCATTCATATCCATACCCCCATGGAGCGATGACTGTGAGGCAGCCTAATCAAGTGAATGTTTAAAGTAACAATAACACACTGTAAACACACATACAGTCCTACATTCAAAGTTTTATTCAAATAAAACTAGAAGAAATATATATAAAAAGTAAAGTCAAAATGACCCTTTTACTTGCCCCTTTTAGAGTATTACTATGTATTATTGGACCATTATTACTAATATATTAACATGTTTTATTTTGTTGAGATTGGGCTTAATATATTGATGGGTAGTTTAATAACAAACCCATCATTATTTTACTATAAAATGTTAATCTGGACAGTACAGATATGTTTTACTTAAACATAAACTGGCATTAAAAGTATAAAGTCATGATCAGACATCCGTACACTCCTGAGACAAAACAATGAATGTTGCCTGCTGTCTTTTTCCTTCCTCTAGAGCGTAAGTCCAATCAAATACTCAGCAGTCACCCTTTATTGGCCCACCTGGTCGTTGATTCCTCCATTACTCTGAGCAGTAATTCTGACGTGTGCAGGGGATCTCTGGTCTATAGCTGGTATGTGTTTCCTCTGTGTGTTGGTAGGACGTGGACCTGAGGAAGACGGTGGACGAGAGCGCTCGGATCCAGAGGGCTTACAGCCACTACTTTGACCTGACCATAGTCAACGACAACCTGGACAAGGCCTTCGAGACGCTACATGCCGGCGTGGACAAACTGTGCAGTGAACCCCAGTGGGTCCCGGTGAACTGGGTGTACTGAGGACCAGCTACACTGACCACCCTGAGCGGGTCACACTGACCCAACAGCATGTCTGTGACCACAAAGGCCAAAGAAGAGGAGAAGAGGGCAGAGCTACTTCTGCAAAATAACATAAATAGTTAAAAAAAAAAATCATATTGCTCTTTCTCCTCTTTGGGCCTGCACGCTGTGCAAGTTTTTTTCTACTCAAAACTCAAAGGGAAAGAGTGCTTATTTATTTTATAACTTTTTATGAAAGATCTTTCTATTCAATGTGGAATTCCATTGAGGAATGAGACAAAGAAATCTGGTCACGTACATCGGGCCATATTTTTGCATTAATTTATTGTTAGTAGTTACACTTCTTATTTTGTAGTCCTTTCCCTTGATTTAATTTGTCAGTCTGTGTTCGTGGACATCCAGGATTCATGATCTCCATCAAGTAAAGGAGATGGATGAGAAGATCTTCGAGCAGTCATTGTCCAAGAAACCTGCGTCAGTGTCGCACGCCATTGAGCAACCTGTGTAACTGTTTTACTTTCACGTCCAAACAACTTAATCCTTTAGTGCTTTTACGTAGCCGGCCCTAAACTTGTATATCAGTGTCGTCCACCGGATCAACTGGGCAGAAATAAAGATTAAATGCCCGTTTGCGCACAACTCCTCTAGTATGTAAAAGAAAAACGTTATAATGGTCTTTTTCAAGATCAAACACTGTTAATTTTGTCTAGTTTTGTTTTCTTATACTAGTTTTTCATCAGTGTGGTGATTTAAACATGTAGAGCGTAGTGTTTTGTCACACTTGATCCATTGATTTGTTTTTAATTACCCTGTCTGAAGTATGACCATCTACATTGTCACTGACCCCCTTCATCTTTGCCAATTTGTTAATGTTTTATATACGTGAATGTGGCACAAACCGACTCCCTCCTTATGGTCCTTCTCTTAAGTGTTGCAGTATGCCAAAGCCCTGATCATACTCCAAATAAAGTTTAAAATTCACCCTTTTGTTAAATGTGATTGGTATTTCAACTGCAGGGCTGTGTAAAGGTATGATTTTAATATACAACTTTGGATGGCAAGGGTTAAAACCAACACTACTTACTGTATGTCAAACATTTTGTAAATCTTCAAATATTACAAAAGATCACATTAAGGACTGGCCATTTGACTGGTGACGACTTCAAATGAGTTCGTTCTGAAACATGTCTTGGACTAAAATACATTTAAAACCCTTTAATAAAAATAT